AGGTAAAAAAGTTCCCTGACCCCTGGTATTCTGCCTTTGAAGCCAGTCGATATCTAGTCTGTAATCAACACTTCCCTGTTTTGAATATTTTCCCATCAGATTAGAATCTATTTTAGAGTGATCTTCTTTATACACATCTCTTTTTCATCCACCTGCTCTTCTCTCCCACCATACATATTAATTTTTCTGGCCTTCTTTTTGGAGGTTTCACCCTCCTTTCTAAAAACAAATAAAGTCTCTCTGGTGCTGCCTCCATTTCGATGAGCTGGTCTGACGTCTCCCAATGCTCTTCTTTTCCATTCAGACTTGAAAACAATGTCTTAAGTTCAGAGATCTGGGTCACAATGCAATTCACAATATTAATTTGCATCTCCTGTAAGGTGTCCATTAGGTCCTCCATTAGGTCCTCCTGCATTGTAAAGTTGATGGGCAAAGGGTGCTTTCTGATTCCTAAATATAAGTCTCGCATAAAGAAACGTTCCCTGTCGTAGAGAGAATAGCCACCAAATCGGCTTGTTTATTCTTTCTTCCAGCCAAGAGCCATAAAATAATTAGGTAATAAAAGTCAATTGCTCAGTACAGCTCGTAATTTATTATGCTAGCCCAGACTTCAACTTTCACCAAGCAGCTTCAATTATAGATCCAGCCATAATGTACTTGTTTTCTATTATAAAGGTTATTCCGTCTATCCGGGGACAGGGGATGAGAAAGAAAAAGTCTCTGACTGTGTCTGTGTCTATCTGGTTTCTGTTTCTATTTAAGGCGTGACACAGTAATACTTTACCGATGTGTCTGGGTTTAAAAGCTTATTTGCCGCTTCAAGATTACACTATCTTCTTTAAAATCATCCTCTTAAGTTCATATTGTACTTACTGCAGCTGTGTTGAGATCAGTTAGTCCCTGTTCATGCAGTCTAAATCTTCATGCTTCCCTCCTGCCTGTGGACCTTCACAGCTAAGATGACATTAGAAAATGGCATCAGAGCTATCCTCTGTCTGGAAAAGAAAAAAGGCATGGGGGGATCGCTTGTCCACTCCCCCAGGATATCTCAGCTCTCCTACGACTCAGAGTGGCCTCTTCTGGCCCTCCCTGCCCCCAATTTCTTGGGGGGTGTCTGGATTCACGGCATTCAACAGGTTTTCTGGAGAGCCCAGTTTCCTGCTGCTTTGCTGTTTCTAGCTCCACCCATCCTCCAGCAATATATTTATCTGGTGTATTACCTTTATCTTCTCTTTCAGTTCTGTGTTTGTTGGATTTTGTTTCAGCTGTAGTTCATCTGAGGCTAATCTATTTTCCAAAATCTTATATTGTTTCTGTCTTTCTCTTTTTGGTTTGAATGCAAATCTTATGGCTGCTCCTCTGAAAAATGCCTTACTTGCCTCCCAAACCATTGTCTTTTTTTTTGTACTTTTTATTTTTTATAAGGGATAACAGAAAGGAAAAGGGAATTGAGGAAGAGTGGAGACAATAACATACTTTCATCCATTCTGTACCTATTGCCATATCAAGATTTTAAATTATTCTATTTACTCTTTTCTGCCTTCTAGATTCAGTTCTCCTTTCAATATGTACTGTTCACAAGCTGCCTGTTGATTCTGTCCACTTGTTAAATAGATCCCATCTTTCTGTTGCCTTTTGCAAGGGATAGTCCTTCATAACTTCTGATAAAATGTCCATTTCGGCTATTTCCCGTATCTTTTCAATAAGATCTTCTTGTTTCGGTACCGTTGATCTTTTCCAATTTTTAGCATATAAAATTCTAGCTGCCGTAACTATGTATATAACTATATAATTCTTTGACTTATCTATATTTTCAGGTATCATACTCAATAAAAACAGTTCTGGGGTTAATGGCACTTTACAGAGCAATATTTGTTCCAACATTACATGCACTCTTTTCCAATATTGTTTCGCTACTCCACATGACCACCACATATGATAATAGCTTCCCACTTGTGATTCACATTTCCAACACTTATTTGATACATCTGTATACATCTTTGACAATTTTTCTGGGGTCATGTGCCATCTATAAAACATCTTATATATATTCTCTTTAAAGTTCACCGATCTTGTAAGCTTTATATTATTTTGCCATATTTTCAGCCATTGATCAATATCAATGTTATGCCCTATATTTTGTGCCCACTTAATCATACATTCCTTAACCATTTCATCTTGCATCTTAATTTCCAACATATAATTATACATTTTCTTAACAGTTTGTTCTTTTGAACCTAATAAAAGTTTGTCAAAAATCGTTTGCTCTAAGTAGAAGCCTTCTATTTTATCTTTTGTATATCTAGATTCTAGCTGTGCTCTAGGCCACCACTCTATATATATATTCTGTGACTCTAGCTCTTCTTTAGACTTTAGTTCACCATCCTTTTTTAATAGATCTTGATATTTTAAAAAGTTTGTTTTTGTCATAAGACTATAATAGCATGTAACAACAACAGGAGCTTAAAACAGCTTGCTGACACGTGGCTCTTCCAAGAGGATTGTCCCAATCCCAATTCCATCACTTTGACAGTCATTTCTCTCTCTTATTGAAATGCTGGCTTGGGCTCGTTTTGTCCTTAGCAAGATGGACAGGAACTAGTTCAGTTTGTTTTCTGTTGGAAACCATCCAATTAGAGGATGAAGAGGAGTTTTCCAATTACATAAGACCAGTTGAAATCAGGATCAAGTGAGGTAAAAAATAATTAGACAGAACTTAACAAAAGAAAAAAAAAGAATGAACCACACAGAGATCGGACCAATACCAACTGTCAATTGTCCACCCTGTTGAAAAACAAAAGGAAAAAAAATCACGTCTCTGCCCTCAGGCTCCTTTTCTCAAAGCCAAACATGCCCGGTTCCTTCAGTCTTTCTATATTGGCTTTCAGTTCTTACTGCTTCTATATTGGCTTTCGGTTCTTACTGCATTGTTTTGAATCTTCTTGCAGAGTGTCTGTTCTGTAATGTCCTCAAGAACGTTTCCTGAGATGGATGTCAGGCTGACTGGTTTGCAGTTCCCAGGTTCCCCTTTCTGAAGATAGGGACAGTGTCAGCTCTATTCCACCCATCTGGCTCTTCACCCACGTCCCATGATGACAAGAGAATATTAGAGAGTGGTTCTGCAATTTCTTCACCCAGTTCCTTCAATATTCATGGATGCACTTCATCTGGACTTGGGGATTAGAACTCATCCAAACAAATAAGGTATTTCTTTTGCATTGAACTCCTCTTTCATCTCTTTTTTTCTCTCCATCAGGGGATGAAAAGGACAACGGGAATTCTATGGAGGCAGTCATTCATTCATTGACAGAAAACCCCAATTGTGAAGCACCAAAAAAAGTTCTACATATTTAAAAGGAGAAAAAGGGAAGAAGGGAAGCCAAGAAAAAGAGAGAGAGAAAGAAATATCCAGCTTCTCCTGCTATTGATGTTGATGCACTTCTGATCACGTGAAAAAATAAACAGGGAAAAGGGAGAAGAAAAGGTTCCCTGGGCATATAAACATTCAACGGAATCTCATATAACAATACACTTGACAAAGTCCACATACATAGAAAACGAAAGAGCATAATGATGCACAGTGATTGTACTTCACGTGAAAACAATCTGAGAGGTGAGAGATCATACAAATGGCTACCGTGCGGAAAGAGCTTCTTTGAGAAAAATCACCCAAGTTCCCATCAAAGAATTCACACAAATGAAAAACCATATAAATGCATAGAATGCGGAAAGAGCTTCAGTCAAAACAGTAGCCTCAGTTGCCAGCAAAGAACACACGCTGGGGAGAAACCATATGAATGCATGGAATGTGGAAAGTGCTTCAGTCAACACAGTAGCCTCAGTTGCCATCAAAGAACACACACTGGGGAGAAACCATATAAATGCATGGAATGTGGAAAGAGCTTCACTCATAGCAGCCAGCTGAGTTCACATCAAAGAATTCACACAGGGGAGAAACCATATAAATGCATGGAATGTGGAAAGAGCTTCAGTCACAGCAGTGGGCTCAGTTGCCATCAAAGAATTCACACAGGGGAGAAACCATATAAATGCATGGAATGTGGAAAGAGCTTTAATGAGAGTGCTAAACTGAGTTCACATCAAAGAACTCACACTGGGGAGAAACCATTTAAATGCATGGAATGTGGGAAGAGCTTCAGTCAGAACAGTTCCCTGAGTTCACATCAAAGAACTCACACTGGGGAGAAACCATTTAAATGCATGGAATGTGGGAAGAGCTTCAGTCAGAACAGTTCCCTGAGTTCACATCAAAGAACTCACACTGGGGAGAAACCATTTAAATGCATGGAATGTGGGAAGAGCTTCAGTCAGAACAGTTCCCTGAGTTCACATCAAAGAACTCACACTGGGGAGAAACCATTTAAATGCATGGAATGTGGGAAGAGCTTCAGTCAGAACAGTTCCCTGAGTTCACATCAAAGAACTCACACTGGGGAGAAACCATTTAAATGCATGGAATGTGGGAAGAGCTTCAGTCAGAACAGTTCCCTGAGTTCACATCAAAGAACTCACACAGGGGAGAAACCATATAAATGCATGGAATGTGGAAAGAGCTTCAGTAATAGTAGTCAGCTGAGTTCACATCAAAGTATTCACACAGGGGAGAAACCATATAAATGCATGGAATGTGGGAAGAGCTTCAGTCAGAACAGTTCCCTGAGTTCACATCAAAGAACTCACACTGGGGATAAAGCATTTAAATGCATGGAATGTGGGAAGAGCTTCAGTTACAGCAGTAACCTTAGTTTACATAAAAGAATTCACACTGGGGAGAAACCATATAACTGCATGGAGTGTGGAAAAAGCTTCCATGATAGCGGTGACCGTAATTTACATCATAGAACTCACACTGGGGAGAAACCATATAAGTGCATAGAATGTGGAAAGAGCTTCAGTCGGAGCAGTAACCTCAGTTCCCATCAAAGAATTCACACAGGGGAGAAACCATATAAATGCATGGAATGTGGAAAGACCTTCAGTCAGAGCAGTTCCCTGAGTTCACATCAAAGAATTCACACAGGGGAGAAACCATATAAATGCATGGAATGTGGAAAGACCTTCAGTCAGAGCAGTTCCCTGAGTTCACATCAAAGAATTCACACAGGGGAGAAACCATATAAATGCATGGAATGTGGAAAGAGCTTCAGTCAGAACAGTTCCCTGAGTTCACATCACAGAACTCACACAGTGGAGAAACCACATAAATTCATGGAATGAGGAAGTGCTTCAGTCAAAACCATGGACTTATTTTCCCACAGAGAACTCACACCATGAAAAAGAGAATATGGAAAGATCTGCCATGACAACTGTTGCCTCCATTTACATTAGGGGGCTCACTCGGATGAGAAACCATATAAATGCATGGAATGTGGAAGAGGTCATTTTTCTAAATAAACCTATTAATCAAGAAATGTATTTAGAACAGGCAGATGACTCTTCTACTTTATTGCGGAATGCAATTTTTCATCTTCTGAGTAATATGAGAAACTGTTTCAGCAGTCAGGAAATTAACCACAGAAAGTAACCACTATCTTGAAAAAAACTTAACCAGTATTCAATCACAGACCAAAAAATGGACTGGTTAAAATGTGTAGTTACTTCGATTGGAAAGGCCAGTCTTGGAATTGATAATGGGGAAACAAAAGGATGCCTGTGATGGATGCAGGGGTGGCCAGAATAGAAAAGGCCACCATTTGCCGGTGATGGTCTAATTGGCCTTGAGGGGAATGGTGCCATTCCATGATCTTTGTCTCCAGTAAATAGCCCGCATTGCAGAACAGCTCTGAGGGTGTCTGGTGGTTCTTGGATTATTTGAGATCAATTTGTTGTGACCTTCCTCGAAACCTTGAAGGCTTGGCCACTTCTATCAACAGTCGCATGTTACAATTGAGCCATCCCAGCAGGACAACCAGAAATACCCTTCGCAATTGTGCCCAGGTGGCTGAGGGATCCTTACATGGAGAGACATTGTTTCCAGAAATCTCCAGAAACCTTTGTCCTTGTGGAGACCTCTCTTGCCTGGATCCAGAAGATCTCACTCCCCATCCAGCACAGGCTGCAACCATCTTCTGTGATCTGCTTTTCCGCTCACCAGGGTCACCTCTGAAAGTAAAGTGAAAGCAGGACTAATAAATAGCATTCAATATTTTCAAAGGGTTCAATTCCATGGAAAGGGCAGCATTAAAAGCACAGACAGAAAAATTTTGATCTAGCAGATGGTACATCGATTATCTACGGAAAGGTTTGTGACAGTATTAGTGACCAGCTATGTTCCAGGATACCAGTTCAACAGGAGTATATAGGTGCGGGTTATCGTTTGTGGAGGTTGGAGTTGACAACTAGACTGGTTCAGTACAATATGTTTTCTGAGCCTCTGACAACTCCAGCTGGGCTTAATTGAGTCATAGTAACCTATGGCTTACTGAAAAAGATAGGATTGTACTTCCAGGTTAACTTTTATGGCATGAACTGACCCGGAAAGTGAAATTAAAGGGAAGAGCCTCCAGAGGTCTATTAACAGCAGTTAAAGAAGATTTAGGGTGGGAGGGCGTCTTGGTGTCAGAAATTGCTATTCTGCAGAACTGTCTAATAAAGTTCAGTACCCCGAGTTTACTTATAATTCTAACTAACATATACATTTTGCTGCAAACTCCATACTTCAGTTCTGAAATCTGGACATAAATGGAACAAATGCTGGATGAGTTAAGCATAGTTTTTCCAAATGCTTTACTTGTTAGGTGACTTTAATGCCTGAATTGGATCTTCACCCCCTACATTTGTGAGTCTACAAGAGGGTCACTAATGGATCTAAACGAGGAATCATTAGATGTCTTCTTGGTCCTCGATCTGCTTGTCGGCTTTCACCCTAAACCCCACACACACACACACCGTGAGGTTAACAGACCATGGTGTGGTAGCACCTTACTGGCAGGAGGCTGCCAAGCTTAAGGAGGGCAGTAGCTACCTATTGAGGTGCAATGCCATCTCCCACCCTCAGAAGTAGCCCCTGGTGCCACCCTCTATGCCAATAGAGAAAAGACTTATAACCGGTAACTGCTACTTCCCATGTCATTTTGATGCTGTATGCAAAGCTGGAGTGTCCTCTCCAGAGCAAGAGGCCTGGATAAAATGAGATGGAGAATAGGCTGTTACCCACGCAGCTAATTCCCCCTCTCCACATCACTGAAATAGTCCAATGGAAAGGCAAGAGCCACTACAACTGGTTCCAGCTACACTGCAGGAGTTGCCACAATGACACGAACTGCCTCCGGGGGACCAGCTCCAGATTTTGTCTCGAGGTCAACTCCTGAAGCCTTTTCCATAGGTGGATATAGCCACAAGGCAGTGGAGGTTTGGAATCAGAGTTTTCCTTCTCCTAGGTGGGCTGCCTTCCAGGTCTGATCAGCCCCACCTAACCTGCAGGTCTTTAACTAATAAGAGTCCCACTTTTAAAGGAGCGCACCAGGGTTGTATTTTGGCTCCATTTCTTGTTAATTTTTATATTAATGACATAAGGTAAAGGTTACCCTTGACAATTTTTGTCCGGTCGTGTTCGACTCTAGAAGGCAGTGGTCATCCCTGTTTCCAAGCCATAGAGCCAGCGTTTGTCCGAAGACAATCTTTCCGTGGTCACATGGCCAGTGTGACTTAGACACGGAACACTGTTACCTTCCCACCGAGGTGGTACTTACTTATCTACTCCCATTTTTACATGCTTTCGAACCGCTAGGTTGGCGGGAATAGATCCCGTGACATAGATCCATTTACACTGGTGCCTCACATAGCGAGGTTAATCCGTTTGGGATTAACCCTCGCTATGGGAAACATCGCTGTGCGGGAGAGAAAAAGCCATAGAAACGCATTGAACTTCGTTCAGTGCGCTCCTATGGCTTGAAAATTCACCGTTGTGCGAAGTTCCTCCGTAGTGCCGCCATTTTCGCACCCTCGGTGAGGGCAGGGCACGAAAATGCAGCGCGGACCTTCCAGTGGCCATTTTGGAACCACCGATCAGCTGTTCTCCCCCGCTTCGTTATGTGATATTCGCTAAGCGAATCGCTTAGCGAACATCGCAAAGCGATAAACCTCCATAGGGGCCATCGCTGAGTGAACGCTCCAGCAATGGCCCAGAGCCCCTCGTTAAGCGATTTAATCGCTCAACAGGGCGCTCGCTATGCGAGGCACCACTGTAGTTTCAATCTGGAAATCCATATGCCAAAAATATTAGTTACAGTATATCACAGAAGTGAGGACACCTCAAATTTCATAAATATTTTAGTATATCTTTTCATGTGACAATACTAAAGAAGTGACACTTGGCTACAATGTAAAGCAGTGTGTATACAGCTTAAATAACAGTGTAAATGGGCTATCCCTTCAAAATAACGCAACACACCAGAGTTTCACAGGTTGCCACTGGAGTCCTTTTCCACTCCTCCATGATGACATCACAGAGCTGATGGATGTTAGAGTGTGCACCTCCACCTTCTGTTTTAGGATGCCCCACAGATGCTCAATAGAGTTTAGGTCTGGACACATGCTTGGACAGTCCACCCCATTTACCCTCAACTTCTTTAGCAAGGCAGTGGTCGTTTTGGAGGTGTGTTTGGGGTCGTTATCATGTTGGAATACTGCCCTGCAGTTCAGTCTCCAAAGGGAGGGGAACATGCTCTGCTTCAGTAGGTCACAGGACATGTTGGCATTCATGATTCCCTCAATGAACTGTAGCTCCCCAGTGCTGGCAGCGCTCATGCAGCCCCAGACCATGACACCCTCACCGCCATGTCTGATAGTAGGCATGACACATTTGTCTTTGTACTTTTCACTTTGTTGCCACCAGACACGCTTGACACCATCTGAACCAAATAAGTTTATCTTGGTCTCACCAGACATTTTTGCAGAAATCCATGTCTTTAATCTTCTTGTCTGCAGCAAACCATATGTGGGCTTTCTTGTGCATCATCTTTAGAAGAGGCTTCCTTCTGGGACGACAGCCCTGGAGACCAATTAGATGCAGTGTGCAGCATATTGTCTGAGCACTGACAGACTGACCACCCACCCCTTCAACCTCTGCAGCAATGCTGGCAGCACTCCTACATCTGTTTCTCAAAACCAACCTCTGGATAGGACACTGAGCACGGGCACTCAACTTCATTGGTCGACCATGGTGAGGCCTGTTCTTAAAATGGGTATCAATACTTTATTCAAACATAAGATTCCTGGGACTACCATCTCTCCTTGCTTGACAGATTCAGTGGCTGTATCAGTCCTTGTTGTTCCTGTTCTGAGTGGAAGCTGTCCTATTAATCTTGGCCACCATGCTGCAGCTCAGTTTCAGGGTTTTGGCAATCTTCTTATAGCCTAGGCCGTCTTTCTGTAGAGTAATAATTAATTTTTCCAGATCCTCAGATAGTTCATTACCATGAGGTGTCACGTGGAACTTCCAGTGACCAGTCTGAGAGTGTGAGAGCAATAATACCTGTTCCCCCTTCGAACCTGACACTTGTGACGCTAAAAGGTCTCATGCCACCAGGGAGGGAAAATGGCTACTGCATCTCTGGACGTCATAAAATCAATGTTTTGAACTCTGAAGAAAGAGATGCCAGGTCTGGTCTTTTCCCACAATTTTCCCCTGGGTCGTCAGCCCTTGCCCTGGTCAGCCTGAGGCAGATCTCGGTGCCCCTTTTGGATGTTTCATCTAAGAAAGAGCAGCCAGCTAATGAAAAATTAAACCTCTCTGGCAATGTCAGTTGTGCAAGGATACAGCTGCTGTCTTGGGCAGGTGGGGTCTCTGGGAGTCCACACCTGAAAAAGTAACTTTCCCAAGGTCTGGGGGGTGAAGAGGGAGGGAAGAAGGGGACACAAGACTTTTTTGTATTTTTGACAACATGCCTGGGCCACACAAGAGAGTCCTTTGAGGAAATGAAATCTCAGGCAGTGCGAAGACATCTCTATCAAACACCCCCTCAGCAGAGTCTCCTGGTGTCCCCTTTCTCAGGGGGTTTGACCATCCTGCGTGTTTTGTGTCCCACACCTTTTTTTCACCCTCCTGCTTTCTGATCTCCATCGATATCCCTTTGGGGACTTTTCTTCCCCCCCCCAAAGATACTCCTGTATCCTTTATCCTCCTGGCACCGTCTACCGAATCTGGCCACAGATGTATGTTTTTGTTCATGTGATATGTTTTTTGCTCATAGGATATGTGCTATGTTCTCCTTCTGTAGAAAGTCTTGTGGTCCACAACGAATATTCTCTGCAAAATGCTCCCCCTCCCCCAATTTGCAAGAAAACCAAAACTCTGCGCTCCCTGTGAAGGAAAAAAACACGGTGTAAGATTGTTCAGGGGTCTTAATGGAAGGAGTGGTTTGCACTGCCTTGCAAGGATGCCTCTAGGAACTACGTTCTCAAAAGGGGAGGCACTATGTGACTGTGTCCACCAGCCCATGGGTACCCCAACCCGGTTTATACCTTTCCTGCCCCCTGTGTGTCGTTTCTTCATACCTCTGGAGCAGAACCCTGGGCACAATCTAGGGAGAGGATGAGTGCCCTTTCCTTTCTCCCTCCCTCCTGTTTTTCCTCCCATGTTCTCTTTCAGACATATCCTGGTTTGAGAAACAGGAGGATGAAGCTGGGGAACTCAAAAAGGGCCTGTGAGATCTGCAGACATAGATCCTTCCTG